TATTGGCACCACAACAAAATTGGAGTATATTGGTTAAGTAGTTTTTGAGAATTTCTAATTGTTTATCTCAAAACACCTGTTTTCTGGCCATCACTATTAGTTTATTGAACAATATACAGGGTTAGTTCAAAGGGCATTTTATAGCTACATCCGCTAGTTTACCTTGCCGATATGAATCGCAAACCATTCCGGAAGAAAATGTTATTTTTTTTCAAAAAATGATAGCTTACGTTTTTTTCTTCTAAACAAATTCAAACATTTCGTATTTGTGAGTAATTTTCAACAAAAGATGATAGAAACATCCGCTTTGTTTTGAAATGTGTATAGTAACGTATGTTTTTCCATTATCATAGCGCATGTGTTCAATTACTCACAAAATACGAAATGTTTGAATTTGTTTAGAAGAAAAAAAACGTAACCTTTGTTTTTCAATTAGAAATTCTCAAAAAACCACTTGACCAATATACTCCAATTTAGTTGTTCTAATTTAGAAGTATGAATCCTATAGATTTGAGGTACTCGCGTGAAACTATCATCGCATTATCAACAAGTGCCACAACCTGCATTTCTTATACCTTTCCAAAAGAAAAAAAAAACGTTATTACTAATTGATTTTATATTGACTATGTATATGATGAAAAATGAGTTTTCTTTGGGTGATTATTACAAAGTTAATCTCCAATCTGCAATTTTAACAATGTACCTGTATGCCTAATTCGAGTTTCTACAGCGAGCTATCCCGGGGTCCTCAACTCCCTCTGGGCAGATGTATTGAGAATCTCAAATTACAAGAACCTACTGTACAGAATCATAACGGTTCTGTGATGGTGTCTAGTAGAACCTGAATGGCCTGAAGTGGAAGAATTTGTTCTGTCCATTTCAAGATACAAGTCATATTATTGTTACATCTATTGGTTCATGAATTTTTGTAACAAATTATTTTCAAAAATGTCTTCAAGATAGCCAGAATCCATCCAATTCATCTATTCGATGTTCATTCTTCCTAAATATTATTCTATTCACTACTGCTGTAGTTTTAGTAAAACGCAGATATTTTGTTTTGAATACTTACAAAAAAATGTGTTTTACTGTACTGAGACTACATAAGTTGGCAAGGTTCTATATAAATCCATATATTTACGAAGAATATTGAAGACTTCTCAATTATATTAAGAGAAGTGTAATACTGTTATGTAGCCAGTGATTTAACAATTAATAAATATCACCCTTTTCTATGCTGTGATTCAAACGCATTAACAACTAACATCCTAAACATTAGGTGGTTAAAAAGCTGATTTTTTATTTATATGGATTTAGCGAATATATGAAAAATCTACTTGTAATTTGTAGTTATAATCCATATAGATAAAAATCACAGCTATTCCTTTTAGCTCATAAAATAGAATACGTAATCCGATAACATTGAATTACTGATCATACATTTTATTGATAAAATATAGAATGTGAGCTCACCCGTCCTATGAGTAACAGTTGGGCTTAGAAACTGGAAATTTTTATAAGATGTTAATATACTTGTGAAATTGCAGGGCATTGAAAAATTAAACTTGTAGTTTAAAGCTTAACGTTTTAAGTTGTACATTGCAAAATAGAAATATATAATTGTCAGGGAATTACGATGCTGCTAGTGTGCGGTATATGACTATAAATGAACTTTGTGTTTAAAAGCTTTATGGTCATATACTGAACGCCTTTCAATTCGCCCTGTTAGACATTTGCAATTTCAAAGATATGTGAATCAATGGAAGCAACGGCTGCTACCTTTCAGGTCGCCGTTTTCGTAGAAACATGCTAAAAACCATTTATAAAAAAATACAGCTTTCAAACACAACCATTATTGACAGGCTGTGTGATCTCTCGCTCTAGTATGTGATAAGCACCAGTTTGCCGTTTCTGAAAAATCCTAAGATCAAAAAAATTGAAAAATGAACAGTGTTTACTGAGCTCTGACTTTTAACTCGGCTGGTACTGTGCTAACACCTTATGAAAAAAATATTTTTGGTTATTCTGTATACCAACTCATCACAAGTTGCTGTTCCACACTTTTTATGATGAGAATATATTGATATTCGGATTTTTCAATTATAGTGCGCAAACAGGCCTTAGCCTTATGAAATGTGATTATGCAAAGTAGGTCGAAGATGGGGTAATTTTGTGTGATAACAAAGAACAATCTAGAGATGAATGAAACTCCTCGATATTTATAGAGGACAAAATATGCGATTTTAAAAATAAAATTAAACTTAAATTGAACAATGAAAAAGCAATTTTAGTACTAGTTTTTCAGTAAGAGTCGACTGATAATTTCATTTGAAACATTCCTTTCATATTGTTTCAGAAAAAGTCATTGTGTATTTCCACGTTTCAGAAAGAAATATATGTATGACTATCTTCTTATAGGGTATCTTTTATTACATTTTGTATTACATCATATACATCACAATAATCAGTATACGTAGAGTAACTTGGCTTAAGTTCATCCAACATACTGTATATATGAAACAAACTGTGTCATCTCTAGATACCATACGATCGCGATTTCCGTATATGGGAGGCTAAGGAAATATAAGATACTATATTTTTTATTTTATCTCTAGGTTATTAGTATTTCCTGTTAAGGTACGAATATATATTCTTTCTTAGCTTCCCATTCCGTCTTTTTGTAAAAAGTTGCTCAAATGTATCATTTTGCCATTTGTCTTTTATAAAATAGTATAGTTGCATCATTATTCTACTAAGTTTGCATGCAGTTCTTAAGCAAAATTTTTGCTCAAACCAAATATATTAGTGACTATTAGCAAATATATTTACAGGGACAAAAATTACGAAAAATTGAACTTTGGTTGATATTTGTGTTTTTAATTTTTTTATGATGACTCTGTAGAGCTAAATCAATGGTTCATTTCAATATAAGGTTTTATTGCCTATGATGGTGGTTGTTGTATCCAATTCTACTTAATAAACTTAGAACTGTAAGGGTGGATCACCCTTTAGTTGCGTATACGTATATCAGTTTGTAAAGCATTTTGGGTGTATTTGAACCTTTTTTTAGCTCTACCAAATAATACAAACTTTTTCTTGTTAATGTTTATTTCTGAATATTTTTATAACTCCTAACAAAATAATTTATGGAGTGTTACGAAGGGCTTTTTGAACGTTAGGACCGATTGTTCAATGAAAGTCATCAAGTTGGGCTGTCATTTTCTTAATGCTGCTATTGAGCAAATCTTCCGTGTTTGGTTCTCCAAACATTTATTACATAAACATGCAGGGGTAGTAGTTGATATACGTAGTTTGCTACACATCCCTGGACAAGCAGCACCGAGCGTTGCATTTAGATTATGATTAGTGGTGGTAACATACTGTATGTTAAATTACAGTCGGTCTTTTCGAGTATCAACAGCTCTTTTACAATCTTTATAAAAGTATGTTCAAATAGTCCCTGACTGATTGAAAGGCTGTTGGTAAAGCTCAGTGGATGTATTAAAATATTTTTGATAATCACTTTCCTAATTGAATCTATGTAATTTAATCGCATTGAAAATATTTTGATACGTCTGTTTGTACATAGGCAGACCTACATTTCTGAATGTTGTTCAGAAAGTGGGTTCAGCAAATTGCATAAAAAATGTGCCTTTATTTCGTATTTATAATGTAGTAAGTACTATTTTACTATTTATTGTATACTTATTTATAAATTTTATAGGTATTAAAGTGATTTCAATTAGCCATTGGAGTTTCACTACGATCATATCATATCGGTATACTGTTGCTGGTGTCCTTTCTCGAAGTAAGGAAATTTCGAATCAAAATTAACAACGTACTGTCAACAACACAGCCTATTAGAACCGGTGTTCCTCAGGGTTCAGTCTTTGGACCAATCCTTTATTCTTTGTTCATTCATGATGTCCCAAACCCCAGTAACTGTGAATTCTTTTTTACTCTGGTGACACTGCATTAGTGGCCCAGTCCGGTTCTAGTAACCTGGTCCATGATTGACTACAATGTGCGGTGGAAGAATTGTTAGAGTGGGCATATCGGTGGCTGATCAAAATTAACCATTTAAAAACGCAGTCCATCTGTTGTACCAAAAAGCGTTGCGGCGCCCCGTCAGCGATTTCTCCGAGAATGGAACTCTGATACCGTAGGAAAATTCCGTGAAATATCTTGGAGATACACTTGACAAGGGTATGATCTGGCGAAAACATTACAGAAACGCTTAAAACAAAATTTCTAATTACTTTCCGACAGCTTCATCCCTTAAGTAGATCTTCAAAATTCAACTTGGTTAACAAAATTCGACTTTACAAAATGATCATCAAACCCAACATTACATACGCATGTGCAGCTCGGTGCTTTCTAGCGAAGACGCACATGCGACCTTTGTCTGCAGGTCCTACAAAACAGGACCCTACGAACCATCACCAATGCCCCCTGATATCTCTCAAACAAAACCCTAAACAGAGATCGCGACATCCCTCATTTAGAGGATTACATTAAACATTGCAACCCTTTGTTGCGCCAGTCAGTAGACTACACAGTGAAGCAAGTTCACAAACATTCCAGGCCAAGGCTCCGCACTGTGAACAAAATTAAACCGGACAATTTCGTGTAATTTCGTTTTAACAAAAATCCAACCAAATTCTTTTTCGGCATCCAAAATTAGTACAGTAATTTTCAAAAATGCTCAGACGCCTAACAGTTGTATTTCTTACTCTTTGCTATCTCCCTTTTTTCATTATTTTTTCTGTCTGCTTTCTATTAATCATGTCTGGTTTCTGGGTGACCAGGCCGACAGAATAACAAACTGACTGACGTACTTTGACACAAAGTCAAAGGTCTCACGGACCTCCTTGACAGACAATGACGAATAGACCGTTGCTGGTTAAAAACAATCTTTGAAGATTTATACGCCTTAATAAAATTAGTAAAAAATAGTCAGTTATGGGGAAATATGGGTATACCTACGGACAAAAAGACAATTTTATTTTAACCATATATTCATACATAATAGTTATAGAAATCAACACATTTCTTTTAAAGTTAAATCACAATCCATGGAAAGGAGGGGGTATAGTTCAGACATACACCCAGGAGTAGCATGTCAATTTTGTTAGTTGCACACAAAAGACATGCACTAATACAACTGAAAATTGACCAAGCAAGATACATTGATAAGTACATGTACGTAAATTAGTCATTTCAAATTCGGAAGCATTTACAACCTGTAAAAAAACCTTCTAAACTCTTGACAGACATTTGAAAGGACCCATTTACCGGTTAAGAAGTAAAAATACTCATGTAAGAAAAGTTAAGGAGTTATCGACCAGTTAACCATTTGTTAGTAACATTCATGACTCAAGTTAGTCTAGGCTATTATTCAAAAACTTTTAACCAAACCGTGCATTTAACTCAACCACACAACTGAAGCAATCATCACAGTATGGATTTTTTGTTACACTGCCGGTAAAACAAAACCCTAACCCTAACAAAAATACTAACCCCAATAATTAATTAACAAATTCTACTCGAAAATAGCCAACCTAGTACTATGTTCTTATCCGAAATAAAAGCGTCCTCTATGACAATTCCTCCTAGCTATGTTTCTCCTCTCCACACTAATTAGAAATCTACTTACAAAAAGATTAGTGTCTCGTAGATGGCCCTGTAGCCAGATATATTTGCTATAAACTAATTAAGTTGGCTTGAAAGTAGATTTCTAATTAGTGCGGAGAGGTGAAACAAGCTGTGATAAATTCTGTTAGATGACGCTAAAGTATCTCATTTCATCTCGGATAATTCATTGGACGCGGAAGTATAGTTTTAGGATGGCTATCTTCATATAGGATATGTTAATCAATGCAATACACAGCAATTCAAGACACTGTTGATGTTTCATTTCATTCACCAGATCTTTGATATACAGTAATACCCCGACTTACGCTACCCCGTTTTACGCGAATTCGGAGATACGCGGTTTTTCATTTTGATTGCCGCGCGCAGCGCGCATCGGCTCTCTCGCTCCGCGCGCGCATCGGCTCTCTCGCTCCGCGCGCGCATCGGCTCTCTCGCTCCGCGCGCGCATCGGCTCTCTCGCTCCGCCCACTCAGTGTTCAATTTGCATCAGGTTTAAACGTGTTTCGCGTGCAATTGTTTTACGTGCGCAGTGCGTTTTACTTATAATCTCTAATTATGTCGTCTAAAAGAACAAAAAATGAGTCATTTGAGCCTAACAAGAAAAGAAAAACACTGTCTTTGGAGTGTAAACTGAATATAATTAAAGACTTTGAAGCAAAAATGAAAATTTGTGAATTGGCGAAGAAATTTGACCTTCCGGAATCAACAGTCCGAACGGTTGTAAAAGGTAAAGAAAAAATTATGAACGCTGTGAAAGACTCTCAATCTTTGAATTCAAGTATCATCCGTAAGCGTCACGGTATTATCGCACAGATGGAAACATTGCTACAGTCATGGTGTGATAATCAAGTAAGAGTGAAAAATTGTCCTGTTGATCAAAATACAGTGTGCTTTCAAGCAAAGCAGATTTTGAAAAACTAAAAGAAGAAGCTGGGGAGGCGGCTGAAAATGAAGTGTTTAAAGCTAGTAACGGCTGGTTCAGCCGATTTAAGAGTCGTTGTAATTGGCATAGCATCGCAGAGAGTGGAGAAGCGGCAAGCGCTGATAAAGAAGCTGCATCTCTCTATCCAGAAAAACTCAAAACAATGATAGATGAAGGTGGCTACACTAGCCAAACTATTTTCAACGTAGATGAAACAGGTCTTTTTTGGAAGAAAAATGCCTAAAAGAACTTTTATTGCGCGTGAAGAGAAAACTTTTCCAGGTTTTAAAGCCGCCAAGGATCGATTAACAGTGATGGTTGGTGCGAATGCAGCTGGAGATTGTAAATTAAAACCTCTCTTAGTTTATCGCTCAGAAAATCCAAGGGCCTTAAAAAATAAATCCAAAGCTGGTTTGCCTGTCATTTGGAAGTCTAATGCGAAAGCTTGGGTGACAGCTTCTCTTTTTGAAGACTGGTTTGGCCATCATTTTATTCCTGAAGTCGAACGTTACTGCCGATTAAAAGAAATCCCATTTAAAGTGATGCTACTAATTGACAATGCACCAGGTCATCCTCCCGCAACTCTAATTAATTTCGATCCACGTGTGGAAGTTGTATTTTTGCCACCAAACACTACCAGCTTGCTTCAACCAATGGACCAGGGAGTCATTAAAACATTTAAAGCTTACTACACAAGGCGGTCATTTGCACATCTACATGAAGCTATGAGACAAAACAATGAGCTTTCTGTTAAAGACTTTTGGAAGCAATTCAATGTTTTAGATGCTGTAAGAATTATTGGACAATCTTGGAATGAGGTTTCACAAAAAACTCTCAATGGTGTCTGGAAAAACTGTGTCCATTTTTTTTCACCTCTGAAACTCAAGGAGAAACCATTTCAGATCCTGAACAAATCGATAGCATAATAGAAGAAGTGGTCGATATCGCCAAGCAATTAAATTTAGAGGTCGATAATGATGACGTTCAAGAATTGCTAGATTCACACAATCAAGAGCTAACAATTGACGAGGTTATAGAAATGCGTAAGTATGAGCAAGACATTGAACAAACTGATTCGCTAGACCCAGTTGAATCGGTAAATCAAATGACAATTGCAAACTTAACAGAAGGACTCAATTCAATTGAAAAGGGGTTACAAATTTTAGAAAAAATTGATTCTAATGAAGAACGCGTGTCTACTACAAAACGAGGGATAAAAAAATTACTGGTATGCTACGAGGAAATTTTACGTGAAAAGAAGAAAAATTTAACTCGTCAGGCAACATTGTTAGAATATATAAAGCCTTCGACATCAAAATAACTTCGGTTTAGCTTACTTTATTCATAACAATGTAATTTTTTTTATTATCCTACACTTTATTAAACATTTTTCTTCTAAATTATTGTTTTCTTTAAACTCTGGTCCCGATTAAACAAACTTTATATGTATTTATATGCAACATTGAACCCCGACTTACGCGAATTCGACTTACACGGCAACCGTTCGGACCCACCTATCGCGTAAGTCCGGGGTATTACTGTATATGTTATATATCAAAAATTCCTAGCTAGCCCAATACCAAAATCGCTAAAGTATCTTAGATGAATTTTTAAAGATCTATCAAACATAATTGTTATATTCCAAATGTGTTCCATACGTGATACATTTTCCTGTTCCATTAGAACACAAAGACAAAAACATTGTGAATATTTATTATAGACAAAGCAGTAAACACATTATTTGTTCGACACTGCATAATGAAATGAACTCCCAAACTGATTTAGACGTTTAGTTTGGCTCAACATGAGAAATGGAGCAAAATGTTCATCAGAGGCACATTTGAAAATGCAATCGGCTAAAATGAATATAGTGTGATGTCCAATGCATAGCAGTACCCAAATAGGAAAAGTGTTAAAATGACTGATGGTTCACATGGTCTCGAAAAACACTGATTGCTACCGAAGGATATTCTGCCAAATATTTCACTGAGTAATAATTCAAACATCAACATTTAGTGACAAATAGGAAAAGGGTCTTTGGGAATTCCAGTTATTTGTGTTTATTTCCTTATATGATAGTTAACAGTTATGTATGTTTGGATACCATTATTCATTTCCTTAGAAGTTTAAATATGAAAAAACTCAAACGATTTGACTAGCATGATGATACCATTTGAAGAACATTTGATTGTGAAATATGACTTCTCTTACAACCCCTATTACCATAGACTGAAAACCTAGAAAAAATATATACACATTTTCTTCGTAAGTAAAAAAAAATCGCAGGATCTTTAACGCGGGTCTTTTGACATCACCCTGAACGTAACAAGAATTTGTGTGGCAAAGCCAATGCACTGGAAAATAATATGCATGACGCTTTTGCGTTCTCAATACAAAATGTCTAAAACCCGTATTTATGATATAGGGAATATTTACAATCATCAATATAGTGTGGTGGTGTCGTGATATTCTACATGAAAATGTGGTGCAAATCTTATTCATGTACATGGTAGCTCGACTTTAGAAAATTCCAAATGCTTCAGTCCGCTAGAATATCTGGCTATCCTCCAAAAACTTCAAGAGAAAAATAGTTACTTGCAAAGCGTGGTGTGCAGGTATATACTGAAAAAGTGTCAAAACTTCCAAAATTCCACAATTTCCCGAAGGACATTTACCATATTGAGAATTATTTACCATATAATTTAATGGAAAAATCAGAAATGTCCACAAATAACTGGAAGATTAACATTAGATCTAGAGCAGCACAAATTTGATAAATTGTGCGTTATATCCAGGATAGATCGCCTGACAGTCAGGACTCCACAAATTTGAAGATCAAAGAATCATCAGAACTGTATTTATTTTGCTTTCTAGAACAGATTACCTAACCTTTGACAATATGTCACAATAAATGCTATGTATTCATGTTTACGTGCAATATTTATTTTTCAAACACATTGCATATTATGATTTGAATGATATATTTTTTTTGAAATGACTTGATACAATAAATTTATGGGGTGCTGCTGGGCATCCTGAATGTCTCGGAGAAAATTAGTAGAAGTATTCAACAAAATAATTTTATTCCGAAAAGTATATAAATTCTTAAATAAAACTAATAATTTTTTATACACGTTTTCGAGTCATTTACGTATATATGTCACTCCCGTCCATCGAAAATGTGTAGAAAAATCGAACCGGTTTCAAGATACAGGTTATTTGAAAATAAAAAAACAGTCATTCTATCATTAGTGGAATACTGAGAACTGGGAACAATAATTTAACCACTCTTGAACAACAATATTGCCACCTGACCTAGATAGAAGTAAATGAAGTGGCGTGTTTCATGTGTTACATATGATCCAAAATTCCTACCCACAATGCAGTGCCAGGTCGGGTTGTATTTCTTGTCAAATTCCTTCTTTATGTAAGCGGCAATGTCCTGTAATAAAAAAATTGTTAAATAAAAAATCTTATTTTATTATGTATACTAAGTGACATATAAATCCGAACACCCAGTTTAAATGGTTTTATTTTAATAAAATTTTGTATAAGTACTTAATGAAGAATAATAAGTAAATGATAAAAATTTCAAAATGATTGCACTGCTTTAAAGCCCTTTGACCTTTAATAATGTGTGGATGCACCCTGATGTGCTACGCATTCTCCAACGCGCCTAGGCATGCTTCTGATCAAGTGGTCAATGTCCTCCTGTGGTATCTCATTCCAGGCAACCACCAACTACTCTCGAAGTGCTTCTAGAGTCTGAGGAGGACGTTGCAAATTGAGCGATCTCCTACCCATCATATCCCACACGTGCTCAATTGGGGATAAGTCGGGAGATCTTGGTGGCCATGGTAACAATGTGACATCGTTATGTTGAAAGAAGTCTATTGTGACTCTTGCAACATGTGGTCGGGCATTATCTTGTTGGAAAGTTGGATCTGCCAGGGTGTCAAGATAGGGTAAAAGATGGGGTTCTAGAACTTCGTGGATATAACGCTGCGCGTTCATGTTACCTCTGATGAAGATTAAAGGTGACCTGGAACCATAAGCTATAGCACCCCAAACCATAACTCCAACAGTGTGATGAACATGTCTTTCAACAAAAAACTGTGGATTCCTCCTTTCACCACGTCGCCTTCTAACCCTGGCACGACCATCATGCATGCCTAAACAAAATCGAGACTCGTCACTAAAGACAATACTGTTCCATCCCTGATCCCAGAGTGACCGTTGTCTGCACCACTCAAGGCGATTACGTCGGTGTTCTCGAGTTAAAAGGGAGGACCCAGTGTGGCCGGTATGAAAACAAGCCAAAACTTGTCATTCGTCGGTAAACACTTCGCATGCCAATATGTCTTACATGTTCTGCAAACCATTCATTTGCAATGGACCTGGTAGTGGAGAAACGGTCCCTTAAGGCCAATAATCTTAGGCGGCGATCTTCACGGTCTGTTGTTCTACGGCGGCGTCCAGTGCCCCTTGCTCTTTGCGTACGGCCTTCTCGAAGCCATGCCTGACAACACCTAACCACAGGGTCTACACTTCTTTGCACTCTAACTGCAATTGCCCGAAAAGAAAGTCCAGCTTCCCGAAGTCTCACTATACGGCCCCTATCAAACTCACTAAGTTGACGAAATCGTACAGGTCTCCGTACTCTAGGCATCATAACCGATCGTGGAGGATGTCAAGAACCAAAATCCGCCAACGTTGATTCTTTACTGCGGCTGAAATATTCATTTTTAGAGCGTTAGTGAATTAAAAAAAAGCAGTATAAAAACCGGAATGTCCAACTGATAAGACTGAAAATTTTTTCACTTGTTATTTACAGTAAGATAAATACATTCACCAACTTTTATTAAAATAAAACCATTTAAACTGGGTGTTCGGATTTATATGTCACTTAGTATATTTAGTAATTCCTAAGAAGTCGTCAGTGTCACCGTCCATAAAAGTTCTGTTAAGGGCTCAAGGGCGGATTCAACCTTTAAGTGAGAGGGGAGTCACATAGTTACAGTCGCGGATGCGGTGGTCGGAGGATTTATGTTCAGATGTCCCTTTCGATAGGGGTAGAGATATCGGCAATTGTAAACTGAAAAGTGCGAGAGCAGTCAAAAACGTACTGGGTGTTTCAAAATCGACTCTCACTATCGGGGTCTGGGAAATGCTTGAAGATGCGAAGTCGGTTGAAATGGTTGCAAGTTGCGCATTCAGATACCTAACTAAGAAAATAGCAGGGAAAAACAATTTTCTCCTGTCTTTGAGGTGGGATTTCAAAATAAATTGCACGGCAAGATTGTCACATTTTCTTCCATTTCTTATCCTCAACATTCAATTCATTTTTTGTCAGGGACGCCATATTGAATTTTGGCGCAGATGAAGAGTTTTCAATTCTGATTCCAAAAATGTGTATGTCATACAATGAAATTGTCAAACCTAATTTATTTCAAAGAAACTAATATTCCATTAGTTGACAGTTCATCACATATTTATCCTAATCACAATTGCTTCAGTTCTGATAAGCAGGTTTAAGAGACATTCAGAACTATATTTTTATTTATTGAAAGAGAATTATTCGAGCACTCTATAAGACACCTCAGCCACAAATTAATATAATTTGAATGCAAGATGTGTGCATTGGTTTAGATATGCCAGATATGAAATATGTTTATTAAGATTACTTTTTTATTTTTAGGCATAGGAAGATTACTTTTTCATTTTTAGGCATTTGAAGTTTTATATCATTTTATGTCATGACATGATCAATATCACACCATTAAAATCGGAAATAGGCATCCTTCAACAATGACTAGTTCATAAAAACTGGAAGAATGCTTGGCTGATTTTATTATGAAACAAATTGCTATTTGATAATTGCAAGGCCTACTTAAATTTCCATTTTCGTCAGTCTGCATGTTACAAGGTTACTACTATGACAAGGACAAACAAATTTGTAGATTTTGAAAATCGGTTCAGTGGAGGGGGAGAAAAAGGCCAAAAATGAAAAAAAAATCGCGCACTTGTTTTTTGATGAAAGTACAGTAACTACCCTCTATCCAAGATATTAGATCCATGGCACTGTCTTGTTTTGATAGGGTCAAACTTGTGCTGAACATAATACTTTATGAACTGATGACAGCATTATGTGGAAAGTGTAGTCAACCTACTAGACATCATTTATTTAAATTACTAAGGTATAGCAATGTCAATGCATGGAATTACAAATTTTTGGAATAAAAATTTATAAATCCATTTAACTGTGCAAATAGCATATGGCGTCAATAAGAAAAATAAAGTTGATCAGCAAGGACAAGAGACAAAACGCGATATTGAAATTCTAATTATGCCAGCCGTTGAAAAATAAAAACGATTTTGGAAAAATTCTGTTTTTTCTTTGAAAACACTTGAAGCTGTCCAAGTCCTATTTTCTTACTTAACCAAATGTGCAACTTTGCCTTGTATAATGAACTTCGCATCTCTTGCTGATTCCTAGGTCCCTATTCTGTCTTACCAGCTTACATTTCATAAAAAGTATAGCATACTTTTTTATATAAGGAAAAACGTATTGGGCTCCGAGGTTTTGAAGAGTACTTGAGCCCTAAAGACCCCCTTGAATATACAGATTGATTCAAGACTCATTCATATTGACCACTCAGCCAAATTTAGTTCTTGGTTACACAACTAGTTCCCCATGCATGGGGTCATACTAACTACGAAACCCATTTCATCTGAAAGAAAACCATAATCCAGCAAATATGTCTAAAAACAACAGTCAGTTTGTGGATATGGTAGAAATTACATTTATATTTTTTTTCTTTCATGCAGGAACTCTTTTATGTTGGCTAAATTATATTAACAGCCCATAATTGAGTGCCTCAAGCTTCTTGCATTTCTTTTAGAACAATGTTATTCTATGGCTAAAGCCACCTTGCAAAGAAAACGATAATCTTTTCATGCTTCATTATGGTTTAATTGCATCAAAAATGGAAATAGATGAAGTTCTCAACCCAGATGACCAGCGAAGGATTGTATTATTTTATTAGCAACACAGAAAAAATTACTTCATCACCTTTGACAGAATAAAACCATAATGAACAGAAGGAAAGAATTATCGCTTACTCTATATCTCAATTTTTTCACTTCCTTTTTTTGCGCCAATGAGCTCCACAAGCACTTCTTACACTGAAAAATGGGACCTTATGATCAAATAAGTTTCATTTTCCCCAAATCTAGTATTCTGGCTTCTACAGATACTTTTTTATACTAATGGTTACCCCATTATTAATGTGTTAACACATATTTTATATTATAAACTAAATTTTACATACATAGGCATCTATATTTAGATTATATTTTATACTGTGTCATTGTAACATCTCATATCATTACATTCAAGCTTCAAGTAAATAATGACCAACTCCTCTGCTGATAAAGGTAGATGAAAAGTAACATTATGTGCTTTTGTCTTGTTAGAGAAACATGGAGTTCTTCCAGCTTGAAAGCCCTGGATACTAAGTTTGAGATGTTACAATTCAGTTAGATCTTTTGATATGAAATAGCTAATTGGAAAAAGTTAAAATTCACTGACTACAACATTTCTAAAATGGGCAATTGTAAGGCTGAAAATTCAAAAAGAGTAGTGGTATGATATCAGTAGACTATCAATGTTGATGGCATTAGAACTACAGAACTTACCTTTTCAATGTTATATTTTTCGATAGCTTGCGTCGCACAGTCCACAGCATCTTGCTGCATGTCTTCGCTCATATCAGCATTTTTAATAACTGCTTTGCGGTCAGTCATCTTCGGTTGTTTTTGGTTTGCTGAGTTAGACCTACAGCAAAGAAAGTTATTTAGAACGCCGGCTTACCGATAATGGATCTGGAACGGGTCAAAAAACCTTTTTCTGCCAGAGTTCACGTTCCTTATTCTAACCATAGCATGGGCCCGTAACTCACCCATAACTAATAACTGGTACAACGAAGAACCATGCTGTTATATCAATATCGAATTCATAAAAATATCTATCATGCAATATCAAAGAAAATTGATCTGAACCTGTTATCACTTAGGGAAATGTGGAGGTGTATGCAGTGAGAATAACGTGTAAAAAATACTTACGTGAATTTTTAAAGGCTCACCAAGGGGGATCAAATTTTTTTTGATTTATGACTTTTCACGTTCTTTCAATTTTTATTATTTTGTTGAATAAAGCGATATTCAATTTTTTGATACCTTCCGTCTGGCGCGGAGCAGGCAACTGCCAAAAATGTTAGTGTGAACGTGTTTATTGGTTAGCCGTAGAGGCATCTGGCAGAGGCATCTGGCAAGCGCCCGCCTATTGGCTACGGTACATTGGCGTACCGTTGCGTCAGGGTCAATTCCATTCAAAATTGATTTAATTTCTGGAATAATCTTATGTCTGTGTATTTAAAGATTTACTGCATACAAAATTACGGATTTGTTCATTCTATTTGGATTATTTAATTTGTCAAACCACCATTGATTTCAAAACGTAATAAATTCCTGCTTTAAAAACACTGAAACCTATATAAGAAACTACTAACCTTACCTAAAAAATGGTAAACCCTTTCAAAGTGTAGGAGGTATGTAAAGTATTGATATTTATTATCATTTACGTCATTTCTGCATCATTTAATTCGACTTTCACACGTTGAATTTAAGGCGTCTATCAGAAATACTTCATTCAAATGACAAAACAAAATATAGGTGCCGTTCAAATCAAATGTGGATAATAATGCGATATGTAATTATAGGTACGCTTCGATTAAAGGTAGGTATATATATTTCTTAAGACGAAATGGGGGCGTCGATATGAGAGTTTGATAACCATGATATACCTACATACTTATCAGTCATAAATTAGGTGAAATTGGACATCTGCTATGCTTCAACGTTATGCAAAATTCGATGAACAGATCCCATATGGGTGCATGTCTATAGATGACATAATATTCTAAGCGTTAAATCCCTATTTCTGGGAGTCCATTTTCAATAAAAACACAGCTATCAGCTGTAGATATCTACAAGTTTAAAACAGTTAGTATCAACTTTTATTGATAGCTTTATCCCCCCAAAAATGATTCTCAGGGTAGAGATATTAGTGACCTAGTATGGCGAGAGAGATATAATTACATGCACACCAAGGTGTACAGCTAGCCTCGATAAATGTCAGACGATGCTGGCTACTGAATAGGTAATGAACAGAAACCGAAAATGTAAAATATATAGAGAAGTCTAGAGAAGCACTCAATCTGAAGGTTCTCACCGATAACTGATGTAAACTGAACAGTCCCGTCTAAGAGTGAAAATGGATTATATCCGATGCCTCATGAGCTGGGAGGAAACCTAGACAGCCCTTCTAGGCGTTTTTGCTTTCTGTATTGTCTAAAGGGACAATCGAGATATTCGGATACTCAACACGACTCCCTGCCCTTCATTAGGAGAGCAGGAAAGTTCGAAGTAGTGAATAAACGCACATATATTATAGAGTAGAGTGTTGATTGCTTCGCCTACCCACATCTACTATTCCAGGACTATTATAGCTATTGAGAAATTGAGATGCTACCCCAAACGCAAGTCCATGGGGGTCAAATCTATTTAGTGATCGCGGTGGTCCTGAAATGTGATAGGCGAATAACCATTTTCATTGGAAAATGAGGGGAGCTGCAACGCTATATTTATAGTGGGGATTAATATCGGCAAATGATAGATAGGTATCCAATAATTTCATGTCACAACACAGAAAATCATTCAATGTACAGTTTACTAGCGTACTCTGTTTTAGCAGAAAGGGACCGTCAGTGCAAAGGCCGCAATATGTGACAATGGGACAACCAATGATTTTTTCCTTTAAAGATAACTGATGAACGTCAACATTTACATCAATACTTCGATGAATACAGTTGAAAGAGATGTGCATTTCCCTAAAATGCATTACTTTTTTTTTCAATTTAATTTGCATATTCCAAATTTTCTCTGCTACATCCTGTATATACCTATACAGCCAGTAGGTATTACGTGAATGTTAGATGAAAATGTTCTTTTTAAGCAGGTTTGCGTGTGTGTGCATCCTTATTTTTTATTGGATTTTCTAGTATATAAGACGAGAATAAGAGGACTTTCACCGCCTACACATAAACAGCTTAAAATCAATGCCCTAGCAGCTAGAATATTATGCACAACTTTGTGCACCAGGGGCGTATCTTAAAGCATTTGATAGAGGGCTTGATTAAGCCGCAGGTGTACCAATAAGCATGAGACAAAGTTCATCCAGAATCTAGAAAATGGCTGTTATTTAAGAGAAGTGAAATTTTCGGAAATCCCACAATTAAAAAAAATATATGTGTATATATATGTATATTCTTTGCTAGCATCACAATTGTGTTTTCAGAATCCTGATGAAGGCTCCATATAGAGAATGCCAAACGCTTGATTTTATCGTCAAAAGAGTCAAGTTAAGCCTAAAAATTTGCCAATTTCCCAATTAACAATTAATTGTATTTTGTGCCCAACTGGTCGTTGGCTTTGCAATGACTACTGCTCACATATATGTATATATATTAGGTTCAAACACCGATTTCGGCCAATGGTCGAAAAAAACGACCAGAACGCGTTCTGGCCACCAGCATATTGCCAATGTCCAAAAAATCGCTTTCTGGCCGTTTAGTATAGATCAAAGTGCGTTCTGGCTATCGTCATATTGCCAGAACGCGTCGAGCATACAAACAAAACGTCCAAAACCCGATTTTCTACGAGTCTAAGCTTGTATCGAATCTAAACCACCCTACTGTCTACTACTCGCAGTAAATGATCATCGAATAGTCGATGTACGTCGCGTCGGTTAACCTGTTCGTTAAGCCGTCTACTAGTGCCATGGATAGGTTCGTGTAAAAATAAGTAGATATAGGTATGCCGATACCCCTAAAGCACAAGTTATTATATAGTAAATGTTTTCTGTTTCTGTTAAAACTGAAGTTATTTATTTATTTTTTATTTTGAAACTCGTTATATAAGCAATCAAATATATTTTTTTATATTAAATTGGCCTTTGGACGTTTTGTTTGTATGTTTGACGCGTTCTGGCAATATGACGATAGCCAGAACGCATTTTGATCTATACTAAACGGCCAGAAAGCGATTTTTCGGACATTGGCAATATGCTGGTGGCCAGAACGCGTTCTGGTCGTTTGTTTCGACCATTGGCCGAAATCGGTGTTTAATCCTTATATATATATATATATCAGTGGTGAGTATCGAAAGATGGAAATATTGTGGTAGGTACATACAGATAGCTGGAGTCGACCCTTTGAATGAATTCCGAGGACAGCAACAAATACAAAACGTTTGATTCTTACAATCAGTTAATGATGTTAACTTCAACTTCTCAGTTCAGTTGATACAAAATTCCACGATTCAGCTAAAAACCGATAGGCGAGAGTAAATTATAACGAAAACTAGGTCATGCTTTTACGTCGGTCTACCTGTTTTCGGTTGTCTTTGGACATACTTTATAAGCTGGGTGGAAGCTTTGGACGTAGTTGAAATTTGACAGTAGGGTTGAAGTAGCTCATAAGAAACGAAGCAAGCTGAAATATATTGATAACCATGCAAACGATCATGCAATAAACATCGATAGTAAAAATTGTCATAAAGAGAAATTGAATTCTACAAAAATGCCAATAGATTAACTGAAGTTTAATTTAATATTCAAACGTAAAGCATTCAGGTGTTTCTCTAATATGACTTTTTACTTCATATTTTGATGAAAACAACAAAAGTATTGCAAACATTATTTACCAACGTATACTTAATTGTATGTTCTCAGAAAAGGATGCTTTAATTCTGCTCATTAGATCATGACTGTTGAAGGATCTAAAAGCAAATTTTAGCAATAAGCAACAGCACATATTATATAGGTATTAGCATTGATTAACGTATTTTCTGCCTGGTAGTGATTACCCATCAAATTCATAAAGGTTTTGTGAAAAATAACCAATCAGAACATAAACATCTAGCACTCTTTTAGATTAAAACGGCTAATATTTTAGTTATCACGTAATTTGCATCCACAGATACATTAATTTCTGTGATTATATGGAAAAATATCGAAAATACTTAAAATAAGTACCATGCATCAAGACAAAACTGCCAAAAATCTCAAACGTGTTTCATTCCCATATCGAGAGCCTGTTCATATCAAACAATTCATTTTTACGATTTACCTGAATTGACTATTAATTAACTGATCTTGTAATCATAGAACTGATCACAATTTCAATGCATTTGGACCCGCATAACCAAGAAACAGCCAGTCAATGAAAGAGCCAAGACTACTGAGAAAAATCAATAGCATCTCTCCGATGTTGCAGAGCCGCACTAGGCTACATGATGCAAGTGTTTAAATGCGGAAAACTATTGGTGAACTTTTTGTTTCCAATAGAATTCACTGTAATTTTCGGTTGTCTGCATTACTTCACAGCTACCAACAAATTCAGACTAGGTAGAAGGAGCAAGTATGCGATTTGATTTGATCCACAGTGTCGTAGTCAGGATGCAAGTGCAAACTACAAGTCGATCAGGCTTCAGCTTCCAGTTTGACAATTGTCGACCTTGCATTAAATTCGTATTTTTCTGTAAAAACGTATAAGGGCGTGCATTGGTTTTCATGCAGTTTCAGCGTTCCAGAAAGTTGCCGAAAATGGTGAATGTCTTTGTGGATTGCAAAAAACAATTTACGCTAAATATAAACCAATCTTTTATATCAGTTAGTAGTCATCGACGTTGCGAAAGGGCATGTACATTGGGCTTTTAACTGGGTTGTTTGTAGTTTTCTTCAGTCCAATTATTTGCTAAAATCCTAATCGAAGAGCCGTATCGTCACTCGTTCCTACAATTGTAGGACACCTTTTCGGCCTCCTTGATTTTCATAGTATTTTCTCTCCTTCAGAAAGTCTGTGGTATTGCTAGATTTCTGTTTCCGTGTCAGCGTCAGCGCACTTCTCATTATTTTTTCTTTTGAATTGAAGGAGAATTCAGGCTGATAAAACAGATGATAAAAATATAAAGGGTGAATAATTTGATGCAAACAGATATTTGCAACATAACCTCAAAATAGAGCGCCTTTCTGAAGGTCATGAAAAACTATGAAAATCAAGGAGGTCATAAAGGCGTCCTACAATTATTGTAGGAACGACTGACGATACGGCCCTGCGTGTAGCTAACAAAGTTTCATACCTAGTACAAAACTGAAATGCAAAACATTTTAAACAAACCAGAAACTAATATGTATACCGAAAACGACTAACTGGCAACCTTTAACGAGTAGCCATTTACTGGGCTTGGGACAACTTCATAATAACCAGTTATCACTATATGACAATTATAACTGCTGTATTATTACGATCTGAATAGTAACTACATAGATAAGAGTTAAATGAAAAGTAGCCATTCCTTAATATGGCTTAAAATAACTCTTAAAACTAAACGCAAAGTGACCTCTGTAAACAGTTGAATAAACATAAAATGACATTTCTGTGAGTAATGTACCCTTATTTGTGGTTGCAGGTTGTAGAGGAAAATAATATCAATACGTCAATAATTCGTAAATAATATGATAAACATGGAGAATAATCAAGATAAAGAAAAACCTGAGCGTCAAGGTGATAAAGCTGATACAAGCATGGATACCTATATAGAAATAAACACAGGCAAATTATGTACAGTCAAAGTTACGAGAGATGATTACGAAATCATGTTGATGGAGACTAAATTGATTGCAGCTTATTGCAAGTACGCTGAAGCAGTTAACACTTTGAAGAAAACCGATAATGTTTTGAACCTATAAAAGCGGATATGTTGGCAGACTTGTCAAAAATCCATCTCTTTGCAAGTTGATTGTTTTGTAGTTGTTGTTGGGATGATAAATAGATCTTAAATATTGAAATAATATGTATTTATTCCATACTAATGAACAAAAACTAAGGGGTTTTTGCAATAACAGTGTGCTAGTTTTGTGAAAGTGAATATTTGGGGATGGCCGCGATAAACCGCATTAAGGGCTCCAGTGGAACGAAAAATATTTGTTTGCGATACATATGATATACCTCGCCTTATCACTTTTTTGACCAAAGCTAGAGCTGACAGCAGGCTAATGGAACGGTAATCTTGAGACAATAGCGATCCCACCTTCTTTGGAATCGTTGATAATATCAGCAGTCTTCCGCGCTACAGGGAAGTACAGGGTTCTTAGCATGCATTGATTATTGCCACAGATAAGTTAAGGACTTCCGCGAAAGTAGCTTCAGCGCTATATTAGTGATTTGATCTTCTCCAGGTGCTTTGCGCAGCACGAGGTATTTAATATTACCTTGAAGCTCTCCTGGTGTACAATGCGGAATGTCGAGAGATTTCGATGATGTGCTGTGCAGATCTTAAGCTAAATAATCTCCAGAAGAAGAATCGCTAATTGAAATACAATACCACTCACACTCAATGTGTTGCTTCACGTCAAGACCATTATCAAGATCATATAGTTGGGCGAGATCTTTCTTTCCATGAAATCAGAGAAAATGTTTGCCCTGAAGACTATGCTTTCCAAACCGTGATTGTGTGGAAGTTGTTCTCGTTTTCCGCTAGGAAGTCATTCCAGTGCTCACTGCTGAATTCGTAAAGAGCATATCTCATTTCGTGGACAAGGTTCGTCGCACATAAAACGTACTTTATAAAAGAAAGTTAAATGAGTTTACTTCTTATATAGTTAGTACGGAGTACAACCACAGAGTGGCGCTAATGCTGGATTTTCCCGTCGTTTTTTTTGACAGTCCATTGTTTTGACGTTGATATAATCGTAATTTTGAATTGAAAGCTGAATTTGTGCGGCGCGGCATTTTATATTAGTATTGTGAGGGTGATACGGATATCTATTGAGGGTTAAGCTGAATTTAAATTTACATGCTTAATCTTTGTAAGGGAGGGCTTATCGAAAAAGGGTATTTAAAAAGAGCATGGTGCCTGGTTGTACTGATACAATCAGTAAAAGGCATACATTTCCAAAATATGATGACGCTCTTTTTAACAAATGTATCGAGCAAGTGCGGAATTCAGTTTGGACAATAAAAGTCCGAACAAATTTGTATTACTGACTTACAATTTTTGGAAAGTGATTAAGTGCCTGGAACCAAGAAGAGGTCTGAAAATAACAGCCTCTCCTACATTACATCTTCCTGAACTTCAATCTTCAAGTAAGTAACACTTTGATTACATATATAAACCAGGTAAATGCAATGTGCAAACTCATGCAAATGAGTAGAGACTAGAGACATTGCTCATTGTAAATTTCCATGGTACAATCGATAATATCGATCATTTTTAGATTACTAACAACTTGCATAACTGTTATTTTTATGTATTGTATAAAAACCAAATTTTAAAAATAAAATCAGGTTGGCCTCATTTACTTAAAATACCTTGTATATAATTTGAATATTTAATTCAAATTTAGCTCCACGGTGTAACAGAGAAGTCCAAAGATGGCGCTAGGTATTCTATATTTTTAAAGGGTTCTATAACAGTCCGTATATGTTCAATAAAGGTTCGAGTATATCCCAGCGATGGCGCTACCACTTAATGACAAACCTTAGCATTACAGATTCCCCTTATATGGTTCGTCGCTCTGCGAATGTCATTAGGATTTTGTCAAACATCTTCTGAAGAATGTCTACAGGAAGTTCAGACGCACGCAGTAGAGCTTTCTGAACGAAGCTTGTTCACTCCGCTTGCGCTGCATCTATACCATTCTCGTCGTCGATCAGGATATTGAAAACCTCTAACGAGCAACTTGTTCAGGGTGGCCAACTAAAAATGCGAGATTCTGTATCTGGGAACCTATCCATCGTAGACTTGCGACAAAAAATTCTGACCAAAAAAAAAACTGATCCTTAAATTCGATGAAAATCTAAACCTTTTTGGTTTGGCAATTTCTGCTGTATCTCTAAAAATAAAGTGATGGGTGGTATTCAAAGGTTTTTGCGAAACGGCTCAGACGCTTTTAACAAACTTAGACTAGTTGAAAAGAGCTATTCTTGGGCTACAAATATTATAATATTTGAAGAGGAAGTCTGTCTCCATGAACTTCGTGATCACCAGACTTAACTTTTCTTGATTTATATTTATGGGGACGGTTATCGTACATCGTGTTTCAGACTCAAGCTACAACCAGAGAACATATGAAAAACCGGATTCGTAATGCAATACGTAACATACCTAGAGCCGAAATTGAATCTGCAGTTTTGTCTACCCATGAGAGGCTTCAGGATGCATAAAGCGTGATGGTCAGCATTTCGAGCATCTACGAGAGCATGAAAGACATTCATTCTAAAGAAATTCCAGAAAAAAATAAAAATTTAAGGGATTTCCGTATAAATTTTAGGTTAGGAACACGATACAGTACCTAGCATTGTTACTTGGCCACCCTGTATAGCTTCCAATCAATGCGTTCCCTTGGAAAAGTTTCATCTTCCAAGTTCCAAGGTTTGCTCATTACCCACTTCCAGTACGCCAATACGACAGATGCTAGCTCCAGATGTCAGACATGATTCGAGAAGCTATACTGTAACTACAGTTTCTGGATATCGCAAAGCCAATGACATCTTGTGCCGAAAGATGAATGAGTGATGGGTGGTGCAGGGGCTCCTCAGTACTCTGATGGATGAGGCACTATTTTTCATATCACATGGCTGTACAGCCGAACTACATAAGTTGAGTTCACCCTCGAATGCCATGCTCGGTGTTTGCAGTTGAAGTCCCTGCCACAATAAGTGGACCTGAGCAATCCAAAAGGACTTCCAGATCCACATCTTGCAGCCCAGCACAAGACCTGACATACACCGATGTGTTCTTCAATGTCATATTAACCACCACAGGCTCTACTGCGATACTCCACATCTTAACGTTTGTGCTTCTGTGGTAGTCAATACCGCATTGACTAGCGACGCTAAGCCGCCGCCCCGCTCAGTCTACCTGTCAGCACGGATAACATCATAATTCGGGAGAACTAAGTGGACTTTCGGATTAAGCAGTAGAGCTACATCTATAGATCCATGAAGAAAATTCCCGTTTTTTTTTTGGGGAATGACAGAGCTAAGCAATTCCAAAGATGAATTTCGATACATGTAAACTGTCTAGCCATTTAATTGATGCGTAAAGATCGCCTGCAATGCCTGGGAGGGCACTAATCAGTAAGCTAATGATTTTTTGTGAGGACTAGAGCGCGGTTGCTAGGCCCCCACTTTGCGCGTTTTAGGAGGGTTGAACAGAGGGGGTAGCACCCACAGATGTTGGGTTAGCTACTTCCGCGTATGGTTAATGACTCCTTTCCAGACATCCTGTGTTGGCCATGAGTCAACTGTACGGCACGGGTATATGTAAAAAAACCTGTAAAACGACAAAAAAAAACAACAAAATATCTTGCAAAACTAGGTAGTTTTTACAGTGCAAATAGTTCATTCCACGTTATGACCGCTGTGAGCCTCTATCTATGGAGGAATGATTCAACTACACGCATTGTTGGTTGCATATGTTTTGTGAAGCCGAGCAGTCTGTAGTTTTCATCTCTGAGAAGATGTGAAAGCATAGCAAGATCGGATCTGGATGATTTTGTGTATTGGTCTGGATGTGTATAAAATCAGTTTTATTTCCTGCTTTTTTGTGTTTTCCAAAATTTCTAGAACACCCCACCGCGCCCCCGTTATGTGCAATTTTTTATCTCTCTCATTTTTGAAATTCAGCAAATCTGCATATTATATAATTTCCAGAATGAATAAGAAAAAGCGGATGCGCAACTAATTTCTAGCTTTGAATCTCAAGTAAGTGTATTTGAGACAAGAATCCGATGAAGTTATCAACTCATATTAGTACACAAATCCTCACTATGCACCTATTCATTGCCGTTTCCTTCTAGCTATAGTATGCAACTTACAGCTTAGACCTCCAATAACGCCATCTCTGAAGCAGATTTTACATCACATCAGAGTCAAACATTGATAACTGAAGCATCATGACGTCTAGACAACACGTACAACTACAAAACGAGTTCACATGCGTCCGTCTGCTAGTGCTAACATCTTGTAGAAAAACCTATATAAAGTCACAAAAAACAATACAATGTCAAAATAACATCGACATAATGTAACTTTTCAAGATACGTAACACCCGTGCAGAACAACATCTGTCAGCAACACGCAATCAATATCTAAACAGTGAATTAGAAATCAAAAAAACTACGTAATTATGCAATATATTTTTTATCAAAATATCTTCCAGTAAGCAAAGTACATAATATACTAATAATTGTATTTATAAAAGCGGTAAAATGTACATAACAATTCATTGATTTAAAAAATATCACATAAAATCATTAAAACGAAATAATCTATAGTATATACAACCTACGGATATTTTAATACATTAATGAGATTTTATTGCATGTTAAATACTATACAAATACTTATTTTATCACAGTATGATTAGTATTTAAAATACAGATGCAACGTCTTGGACATTGCAGTTTAAAACCATATAAAATATACGTTCCACCTGATAATGTTTATCGGTACTATAAAATTCCAACGCTAAAATGCTTCTAGGCAGCATTAATATTTCGACATAAAGATTCAACCAAAATACATCGCTCTTATTTCATATTAAATTTTTATTATCATAGTTATTTTGTTAGACCGTATGTTATAAAACGTATATAAAGCAACACGCTTCAGCGCGATGCCATATATGGCGTCATGCCATTGAAGGTTGGTTCACACCTGGGCCGCTGTCCAGTGCTTTTGAATTAAGAGTTGTAAGCACCCGGAGTGTGATGCTCTCGAACTGCTCTAGCAAATGTGCACGGGAACGCGACGATAAAAACATAACCTGTTTTTTAATGTTTTGCTTTGACGTTGACAATTTGTATCACATTGCCAAAGTATCCAATTATGCCAGATAATGCTTCTGGATAAATGTCTCGAATTTATATTTTAGTGTAGACATTCAAAATTATTTTCAAAGTGTCTAGTTAAAGATGAAGCCAACTACAAGCCACCAGCAACTTGCCTTCTTGCGCTCTCTTGTGATATTTATTATTCAGGAACATACGTTGTGACTCTGGGTCATAACATTATGTGTTTTACCATCCTCCATTGTCTGGTATTGGTTTAATGTGAGTTTAAGGGAACGGAAAAAACGATGCAAAAACATAACGTAACAATCTTGACACATTGTCATTTTCGTTATTCCCACTATTTCGGAACGTATAACACCAAATAAAAAGTTAGTGCATGAGGTGACAGGGGATTTCAAAAATGAGTAGCTCGGATGCATGACACTAGAGCAGTGGAATGGTATTGACAGGAGGTGGGCAGCACCGAGCTATTCCAAGTAACACAAATGAGGCACTGGAAAGCGGCTCCGATTAGCATTCAATTAGCTGACCTGTGACGTTTCTGTTTTTGCATGCCTATACACCAAGAGAACCGGCGAAATGAGCAAAAAACGACCCCAAAACTTGACTGAGGGCACAGTGATCGAAGCGAGTTCCAGCTACTACGCATGCGCAAGGTGTCTGAAACTCTCCTGTGAAGGTCAAAAACGGCAGCCATTTCGGCGGAGAAAGTCGAATGTAAATGCTCCCAGGGCAACGGTGAAAGAGTTTTTAGTGCTCAGCAGCAGTCGGTACACTATATCATATCGAATATTATCATTTTAAGATTGCAAAGAACATCTGCGGCCGCTGGCATGATACGAGGAGACACCGACTGCTGCTGAGGACTAAAACCTCTTTCGTCGTTGCACTGGGGGAATTTACATTCGACAGGAGAGTTTCATAGCTGATTGTTATCTAAGCTGGGGTTATAGTACGAGTCCGGCCACTTGAATCTGCAGGTAGCTATTTTTTTATAAAACTGCTGTATTCTAATCTATTATTGTTTATCATTCATATAAATCAAGTTTCATAAACATGCAGATACCTGCACATTCAGAGGCCGGA